AAACTTTTTTTTTTTTATCTCAACTACACCCTAAAACTCTCACTCTTCACTTTCTTTTCTCTCGGTCTCCCTTTTCCTATTTCTTCTCCCTATTTTCTTTCAATCTCCTTTCTCGTATTTTCTCTCAATCTCATTTTTCCTATTTTTCTCCATATTTTCTCCTAATCTTCTTTTTTTTTTATTTCTTCTCCTTATTTTCTCTCAATCATGATAATATCTTTCTAAGAGACCTCACACTACTGCTAATTCACCATGCAACCTAAAAGAGAAACAAGATAAAGTCTATATGCTACGTTTATCTAATTGGTAAAATATCCCCAACATTCTTTCCTTATGTTTTTGGAGACTTAGATAGCCACTAAAAACAACGTGCTCTTTTGTGAAAAATACAACAGGATTCCAAACCTTGTTAATAAGGATATCAAAGCCCAATTATGATGATTATTATTATTATTTAATGTTAACGTGCTACCAAAGATGTAAAATCGATGGAGGTGAAGAAGAAAAGATACGCGATAAGCACCAAATTATGAAAAAAAAAGAAAAAGGAAACTAGCATAAGATATAATTACATAAAATGACTTCTTTTTTTTAAAAAAAAATGACCCTCACAAGAAGATCTTGGGCCTTTTTTTTTTTCATGCACAGATCTAACTCGAAATGCACCACGGTGCATGCCAAACTGTTAACGATGCAAATCGGAATGACCTCAAGATGAGATCTGACCTGATTCAAACCACAAACTAATTTTTTTAAAAAGATATATAGAGTGATACAATCAAATTCTAACTTTGACATCCAAAAAACGAATAGATCCGCTCTCAGATCAGTCGAAAAGTTAGTATCAATCCAAAAAGCATAAAATACTATATAAAAAGCAATAAAAATAATTTAATTCTAATAAAATAAAAAATAAAATAAACACAAAAAAAAGTAAAAATGTATCAGAAAGCGCCAGTTGGCCTGGGACTCCCGAGGCTTTGAGGCCTCGCCCGTATCAAGACGGGTTGAGTTTAAGTTTATGTTGTGTGTACTCTTTGCCTCTTTTTTGGTTTTGACCAAGCATTGGCTTGATTGGATGGATTTCTTGATTTATAGGCTGCGAGGGGCATAAGGCTAGGTTTTCCTAGGTCTAGGTTTTTTTCGTGTTTTCTCTCTCGTTTCCTAGCATATGGGTTAAGTCTATCTCTAAATGGGTGACAAAATGTGTTTATATAACGGTTGAAATCATATTAAAATGGATATATACCAATTTTAAGCATATTTGCCAGTCAAATTTTCATTTGGGGGAATCAAAGGGAGCTCATTTGTAACCAAAATTAACAGTTGTATTTTTGTGATATTGCTTACCAAAAAATTAGGTAAAAATAAGTTGTTTTTCTATTTTTACTTGTTTCACAGGATTATGGATTATAGGATATGGATCACGAACTATGATGGTCTATGGTTTGGGGGTTTACCAAGATAATATAGTCTTAAGGGTTTAAGAGTATCACAGAATTTATCAATTTTAAAAATGGGGTGTCTACAAATTTAAAGCTAAAAAATGATGGAGATATTGTGGATTTGTGAATACTTGAAAATGGATGAAAATCGATGGTCTAGATAATGTGTTACAATATACATTATTTTCATAGCTTGAAATCCAAATTATTTTCACAAACATAATAGTTAAAATCGAGATGATCGAACTCAAGATTTTTCGATACTGAAACTGCATATTTCATTAAATTTTAAAGGCTTTATTTTTTCCCATAAGGCTTATGCCTTTTCTTTACCTTTTTCGGTCTTTTTTTATCTCGTTCACATAGTGACGGCATTTTACATTGTCCATGGTATTCAAGGAAGGCACATAGGACATCGCCTATGATAACTTGCATTTACATCTCACATCGGTTCCCATTTTTAGTCTCTTTTTATTTCGTTGTTATGGGTTTCCAATTCAAGATGCATCTATGTTGTTTGATGAGGGGTAAATTTTTGGAGCTTTGAGTAGGCAAGAAATTGAATTACTAATGGCTATACTTATGAAATTGATGTTTTAAACATCAATAACAGCTCAAAATTCAATAATGAAGGGAAAACTCAATATGGCAGTCCCAGCACAATAGCCAAAAATCTCAGTACTCCTCAATTAAAATTATTACATCTCTCTTTCTCTAAATTAGGCATCTCCAGCCTTGACCTTCTCAATCAAATTGGCAGCATCTTGTACTGTAGAAATATTCTCAGCACCGCCTTCTCCTATGGATACCCCAAATTTTTCTTCCAATGCCATCATGATTTCCACCTATCATTAAAAAGAAACAGCCAATTGGGTTTATTAGTGTCAGTTGAATTTATAAATGATGATTGAAGCATTGAACAATGCTATTTTGGAAAACCCTCTAGTGAAGTTATTCTTATTCTAGATATCCCTCAAATCAATCATCTCGATCTCGAGATTCATAGACATGAAAAACAAGGAGATTTTTAGTCCTAAAAATAGCTCGTCTTCCAACATATTATCTAGACCATCAATTTTGAAGATTTTTAAGTGTTTATAGATCTTCTTAATCGTCACTATTTTTTAAACTATAAATTTTATAATTGGAGGGGCGAGAATATTTTCATATCATTGCAATGCTTTATTGCACGAAACTGTATTTTTGGCATGGTTTTGAGGCCCATCTTACTTCAATAGTATAAGGTTGACACCTTATACAAACCTCACCAATATAAGATAAGGTAAAACTATATTATAAGATTGCTTACTTTTAGTACAAGATGGTTACAATCACTCCTAAATCTCATATGTGAAATTGAGCAGCTAGGGGTAAGTCATTGACCGCATCTAAAAGTTCAAGAAAGTCTTTTTGGAACCTTATCATCCCTAATCGCCAAATTTTACATTTGACAGCAATGACTAACTTTGACGTCCACACACCAATAGTAAATAACCTTCCCTAGCAAAAATCCTCCAGCAAATATTTCATTTGGATAGCTCACTATTTTATCCTTAGTCCGGTTTTCTGAAAACACAGAGTTAACTCCAGCCCATTCTTGAGGTGTTTTCTGAAAAAACCAGAGTTACCTCCAGCCCAAGTTTTGAATTTTCTTGAGGTGTATTATCATTTGATAATTAGTTGGGTGAAAGTTCGGCCTCCATAGAAATTGCTTGCTTATAAAACAGTAAAATATTGGCAGTTGCTTCAAGAAGGAAGAACCAACATAGGGATTTGTTGGACACCAGGATATTCATATCATCTCTATTCATCAGAGTCATTAATCTTAAAAACAAATGATAAAGAAAAATAATGGATCCTTAAAATCACACTATAGCAATGGTTAATATCTACTCCGATAGTAAGCACATACAATGCATTTGCTGGATAGTAAAATTTAGGTTTTCATGAATTCAATATCTTCTTTTTTTTTTGGGTTGAATTCATCGTATGATGAATGAAACACCTTTTTTTCACAATTTCTTATAAAAAAAAGTCTACCTGAGTAACAACATTCGCCCAGTAAGTGTACAATCTACTCTTACAGTACGGGATACTTTCCCGTACAAAATCATTTGTGTGTATGTGTGTATGTGTTAATTTGGAGCTCAAGATGCACCAAACTAATATCTACTCTAAAATTGACTCTAAAGTGACCATTTGGTGGATGATTAAACCTAGGATTTTAAAAGCTGAAAGACATATTTTCCTCTTAATTGATCACAAGGTGAATTTGGTTGAGGGACAAATGTACAATTTGGTCCTACTGCACCCCGCCATTATATAACAAGAAATTTTGCAAAACTCACATATAATATCAATAGTTTAACATTTCATCATTTTATCAAAACACATCTAAAGATTCTAACTCATGATTATGTGTCCGTTGATGGGCCTTTTGTGATTATGTCAAAAGAAATGATTAAGATGTTACACAATTCCTTTCGAAGGGGATCTTTGTTATATTTCCCTCATATTATTACTAGCACTCAATATCATGTTATGTAGAGGAGATGTTTAACTATTTGCATATAAAATACATAGAAAAAATCCCCCCCCCCCCCCCCCCCCTTTTTTTTTTTTTTGGAAGAAATTAAATTACAACAATTTTTCAAAAAGAGTTAAACATTTAAACTTCAAATATATCTAGTGAAGTATGTATCGAACATAGGACCCATTTTGCTGCTTGAAAATTCAGTGGAGAAAGAGATGATTAAGGGTTTGAGGGTGAGAGAGAGAGAGAGAGGGGTGGGGGCATGAGGTTTGTAGGAGAGAGACAATTCGGGGCGAAAAAGGTTCATTCCAGAATAGATTTTCCATCTATTTAGCTAGAAATTTTTTCTCGAAAATGAGGTGAAATATTAAGGGAAGATTTTCCCCCGATTTGGGTACCAATCATTACAAATAATTAGATATGCTTAATTTCTATATAATAATATCTTGAAAATTAATTTCCAAGAACCCAGATCTATAAAAGAATATCGTGAAAATTAATTTGCAATGACCCAAACAGGCCATTAGTGCAGTATTAAGAAGGAGAAGCATTGTAAGCAATCCCCTTATTTTATATGCAGATGTCATGAAGCATATTAAGCATAAAACATGATAGATACATTAACCGGCTTTAATAATACATTAAGCAATAAACTATAGATAATAAATATTAGACAGGATCATGATAAGTATTGCTAATGCATTCCGCATTACCTCTTGGCTTTAAATTGTTGCCACATTATTCCTACCTAAAGGATGTGCGAAAATGTTCTTTAAAATCCAATAAAATAAAAATAGTACCATCGATAGGATCGGATTGGGTTTGGATCCACGGGGATCTGGATAAGTATACATGGGATTCAGATCTGGATTCCGATGCCATCAGATCCAAACTATTCGGATATGGATTCAAATCCAAAATAGTATATATGGGATTCGGATCAGATTGGATTTTTTATGTTCCCCAATTTGAAATTATATACAACAATCCCATATTTTTTACAGTTTTTGAGACTTTTTAAATGTTTTTTATGTACCCCAAATTGTACACACAACTCGAGGTAACTCGACCTCTTGCCCAAGTCTGAGTGGACTCAGGCAAGTCCCGTAAGACTACATAGAAGCGTTCAAGAACTTAGAATATGCAATTATTTCAATATAAAACAGCTGAACTATAAAGGAAATGGATATAGGTGATACCGTGTCCAATGAATCAGCACCCAAATCGGCGAAGTTGGTCTCTGGAGTGACAGTAATCTCTTCAATGGACAATTGCTTTGCAATTGTGCTCTGAACAATTTGTAACGTTTCGGGAAGAGCCTGCATATGTAGTCATATGGATTTAATATACTTCAAGAAAAAAGAATACAGGAGAGAGAGAAGAATTTTTACTGCATAAATGATGTAAGAACCAGACTGGACTGGCCGGTTTGACTAGTGAACCAGTCCGGTTCAACTAGTCTAACTAAACCGGTACCTTTACCGGTTTGGTCCCTGGTCCGATCGGACAACAATGAATATCATTGAACCAGATGGCTTACCACAGAGCAAGATATTGAGGTCTTCATGCGAGTTAAGCGAGGAATGTGGCTTCTTATCCCATAAGCTTGATGATTTGCAATTGTTCTTAATCCACCAAACATGGGAATTCTCTGTTTGAAAACACATTTTTGATATGTTAATAGTAGCCAATTGAAAGATCCCCCTACTCTTTTTTAATGCTCTTCCTGATTGTACTAAACATAACTGGTCCTTTAATGGGTTATGGGACCAAATTATGCAGTTGATCCTGCAGGCAAAATGCAATAGGGCGGTATTTTTTTGTCAAAATTTTCGTTTTTTTTTTTTTTTCTCTGATCAATTTAAAAA